GCCCTCTGGTGGGCAAGCCTGAGGATCCCAACATAGATTTAAGGACGTAAAAACCACTCAGAAAAATTCTTTACTTAAGTGAAAAAAATGAGGAGAGCTTATAATAAATAATATCTGGAATAAAAAGCTCTACGATTTATGCACCACTGTCTACCAATTGAACTAAAACTAACATGAAGCAAAAAATTATAAGAAAACCTTATTCTGCCTAATATTAGCTAAAATAAAGAAACAGTATATAAGAAATAAACAGTCAAACCTAAATTAAATTAAACTAATTAAAATCCGAACAGCAGAAAGAAAATTATTGTACAGCCCAGTTTTGAATTTAATTAACAAATGAAAGAGGAGCCTGGTGCACTTAAGATCAGTAAACTTAACCAGGACCAGATAACAGCAGAAAAGGAGAGAGCCTTGCTTCAAGTCTGACTGGCTGCTATTTCAACTCTTGTAGAACCAGCTCTGTTCTTTGCTATTCAGAAAATCTTCAGAAATTCTGACCTCTAAGTAGAAAATTTCATGTCTGGAATAAACCCCAACTCTAGAATTCCAAGTCGGAAAGTTGGGGTAACACCACCATGCTAGACTTCTGCATTAAGGATGGTTGCTTCTTGTCTTAATAGTCCTGTTCTAAGTATATAACATCAAGTCATTTGTGTAGTTACTACTGTTTGATTACAATTTTCAATATTGTCTATATGCGGAACATGAAGCAGAGACCTGTGTTTTTTGTCATTATTATTCAGCAAAAGGGACCATATACAAACAATGAAGAATTTGAGAGCCCATAAGTGAGAAACAGTAAAATCATCAACTCTAAATCACGTAACTTTGAGTTCACAGTTCCAGGTTCAATTAAATGCAGCATTAATCTGTGTTATGCTACGTAATTACATCCCTCATTTCTCAACTGGACTGATTGTTGGGTTTTGGCAACAGTAGCTTCAGATAGGTGTTCCTGCTGGCAGGACTAGACAGGGACCAGATAATGGACCTGGCATTTTTGGTCATGGTAGCCCAACTTGATGTGTGCAGCAACTGCTCTCAGCTAGCTGGTTGGCAGCTGTTAATGTATAGATGAGGAGCAGGGAGCAGCACTTTTAAACCAGATGAGGAAGTTACTTGTAAGAACCTGTGTTATGGTGCGTGTGTTAATCGGGCTGATCACTGTGGTAAATGCTTGGTTTGTGCCCAGGTTAATGAAAAAAAAAAAAGGGCTTTGATGAAGCTAATAATCAAAAAGTAAGACATACCATTGGCTGCAGCTGTATATATATATATATATATATATATATATATATATATATATATATATATATATATATATATATATATATATATATATAAAACAACCACGAGGCGTGTTTTAGCAGTATCAGTCCTGCTTATGTATAGCTGCACACTTACTGTGCCGTAGCTGTTCATCTAACATCATCTGTGTATTCTTTTTATTTACATTTTCAGAGAAGCCAGATGTTAGAAGTCGAAGAAAACTCAAGTCTCAACTGAAAGAGCAGTTTACTTGTGTCTCTGAAGGGATTGATAGGCAGAGGACCTCAGCCCTTCTCAATGAGGTCTTCACTGATCTCTACATCATAGAAGGGGAGAGTGACGCAAATGAAGCCATGCAGGTTCAGGATTCAAAGTTCAAAACAATGAAGGAAGAGACAACCATCAAGTACTGTGACATTTTCAAGCCTGCAGTTGGTATTTCAAACATTAAAACTGTGCTGACCATTGGAGTGGCAGGTATAGGAAAAACATTTGCTTCAATGAAGTACATACTTGACTGGGCTGAGGGAAACGCAGCGGAAAACTTTTCTTTCATTTTTCCACTTCCTTTCAGAGAGCTAAATCTGAGAAATGATAAAGAACACAGTTTAGAAGAGTTGATTCATCAGTTCTTCCCTGCCATGAAGACTTCTGAAATAACTGACTATAACAAGTACAATATTCTGGTTGTTCTTGATGGTTTTGATGAATGTCGCCTGGATCTTGATTTTAGTGAAACTACTGACTGCACTGATGTCATAGCACAAACCTCAGTAAATGTTCTTCTGTCAAATTTAATCTTGGGAAAACTGCTCCCTAAGGCTCAGGTCTGGATCACCTCACGACCTGCAGCAGCCAACAACATTCCCCCAGAAAAGGTTGATCGAATGACTGAAGTGAGAGGATTCAATGATGAGCAGAAGGAAAAGTATTTCTTGAAGAGATTCAGTGATGAGGAGATTGCTAAAAAAGTCCTATCACATGTGAAAAAATCAAGAAGTCTTTACATAATGTGTCACATCCCTGTTTTCTGTTGGATCACTTCAAAGGTTCTGGAGGACTTTGTCATTAGAAATCAAGAGGAAGGACTGCCTAAAACCTTGACAGACATGTACACACATTTCCTTTTGCTCCAGCGCAGACAGACAAAAGTAAAATATGATAAAGATCAGACAAACTCTGAAACCTCTGAAATGGAGACATGCTCTGATAAAAGTAATGATGAAACAATCCTATCTTTGGGAAAACTTGCTTTGAAGGGGCTAGAAGAGAAAACTCTTCTCTTTACTGAAGAAGACTTGACTAATTGTGGCATTGATATATCAAAAGCTGCAGTTTTCTCTGGGTTGTTCACTCAGGTCAAGCGAGAAGAACATGGGTTGTACCAGGAAAAGTTGTTCTGCTTTGACCATCTAAGCATTCAGGAGTACCTGGCAGCTCTCCATTGCTTCTACTCATTTAGTTGCAAAGGGAAAAAGGTTTTTGTCGAACCCACCTCAACTGCATCAGACATAGCCTCAGAGTTCTATAAGAAAGCAGTGGACAAGGCTTTTGAAAATAAAAACGCTGACTGGGACATGTTCATCCGCTTCCTACTGGGTCTCTCTCTGGAAACCAATCAGTGTCTTCTTAAAGGGCTCCTCAATATAGCCAAAAATAATGAAGAGACGAATAAAGAGACTGCTGAGTACATCAAAGAGAAGATCAGAGAGAACACCAGTGACCCTGATAAAAACCTTAATCTTTTCTACTGTCTTAATGAGCTAAATGACCTCGCCCTTGTTCAAGAAATCAAAAATTATCTTCATTCAGAGAATAAACCTTTTGAAAATTTCACTGTCTCTCAGTGGTCAGCTTTGACCTTTGTGCTGCTGACATCAGATGAGAACCTTGAGGTATTTGATCTCAAGAAGTACCTGAAATCAGAGAAAGTTCTTCTGGGAATGATGCCAGTGGTCAGAGTCTCCACCACCACATTGTAAGTATTTTACAAAAACTCTAAGCTTGTCTGTTCATCCTTCAGTCAGTATCCATCCATATCTATCCATATGCATCTATCTACGGTAGCTTAAATAAAGTAATAGGGAGTGTTCCTCATCTTTCCAGTCGAGTGGAACCATTTCACACATATTGGGTCAGTGAGATAGCCTGATAAACCAGACTAAATGAGATTATATGTGTAATTTAGTCTGGCGCCAATGAATGAGACATTAGAAGATTCTTGATGAGAACAACCCGTTGTTTTTCAAACCGCTGTCTGTGCCTATTGGCCAACGCTCTGACCAATGAGCGCAACTGACTGTGACGTAGGAAGTGTGACAGGAAGCTGGTGGGGGCATGTAAACAAACAGCCTGTCGGCAAAATGGCGAATACGTCCTTCTCAAAAATGAATGAGCGTAGAGCCTCTACCTGCTCTCGTTTCAACAAAAACCCCAAGTCTAATCCTTCCAAAACTGATTCCAAAGCTGAGTCAAAAATCGCCATCAGAGCCAGCGGTTCTTCACACGCAACGATGCAGAGAGAGGGCCGCTGCAGACGGGCTGCGGTTAGCCCTGGCTGCCGTTAGCCTCAGAGGTCCGCTGGTTGCCTTGGGTCTCTAAACTAGAGACTGACATTTTTTCGGGAATCCCACGGGTCACGGGATTCCCGTGGGATGGGAGTCAGTAACGATCACGTGATTGGGACGGTACAGGATTAAACATTAACGGGAGCAGACGGGAGCTGGAGCAAACCAATAGTAACTAAAAAAAACTAGGATCGATGCCAAAAAATAAAATAAAATACAAAGAAAAAAAATACAGTACTGGCGCCGCCATTTTGTAGTTTTTTTCCTTGAAGCCTACACTATAATGCGAGTCAAAAAAACTACACGACTCAAAAACCAACAGTGCTTCCGCTCTGAGTTTTTCACCGGCGCTCAAAAACAACAATGGAGGGACCAACAGTTAGTGGTGAACTCGACTTTGAAAAGTTTGATTGTTTCTATTGTTTATTCACCTAAGATAAGCATGGTCTGTTTCCTTGTTTGTTACTTTTATTATGTATTATGTATGTAATTATTATTCCTTTTACTTTAACTGACCTTTACTACAGTTAGAAACAGGAACTTAACTGACCCTTCATAGAAATTCAGATTCAATGTATTAGCAGAAATCTTATTGGAGACAACAAGAATGGGAGTGGTGCAGGAGCCGGAGTCATTCTGAATGGGAGCGGGATGGGAGTGGGAGTAATTTCACCAGGACTGGGACGGGACAGGTGTTTATGCTCTGATTTATGTTTTTATTTCACAGATTTGTAAATAGAAGTGATGTATGAACTGGTTTTGTCACGTGGTATGGTTAATAAAAAGCCGAGTTCAGGTGGGTCGGGTGTGCCCCCCGCCCCTCCTCTCTCAGAGCACAAACGCAACCAGAGTGTGGAGTCCTTCTTTTGCTGTCGAAATATATCCTTTGGATACCGGGTCTAGCTGCTGTATAGCTACTTCTGCTAACAACAGGATTTAGATTTCTACTCTGGCCCGGAATCGGGATGGGACACAATTTTTTTCTGTGGGAGTGGGACGGGACAGGATTCAAAATCCACTCCTGTGTCAGTCTCTACTCTGAACTTTGGAAATGTTTTTTAATTATGCATTAAATTGGTAAATGGACCATATAGTGACACTTAAAAGAATAATATTCTCGCCTCTAATTATCTTAAAACATACTTGTATTGAACAACAGCAACAGAAAAGAGAACTTTTAACTTTCAATGGAATGCTCCATTGAAAGCTGCTGCTGCCGCATTCCATGCTAGTTTTGTGTTTTCTCCAGTGTCTTGCAGGTTTTTTTGTCACGCCCTCAAAACCAACGCCCACTTTGCATCCAAAAATTCAAATTAGATCTCTGCGTTGTGATTGGCCCGCCAATTCTAGGGCCTGGGGCATTGATCGAGGCTAGACCAAACCAAAAATTATTTTGGCTGCTGGCGGGTGGGGCTAGTTTCAGTGAGTCACATGACCTGGAAACTTTTGAAGAAAAATCACAAGGTTTTAATAAAAAAACAAACAAAAAAAAAACATGAAAAGCCCTAAAAGGAAATACAAATGAGTGTGATCATTATGTTCAGTCTAGTAGAATAATTTCACACATAGTTTGAGTCAATGGGTAACACATGACCTGGCAGCTAATAGAAAGTAATACTACATTTTAACAAAAAAAAAAGTAATATGAAAAAGACTTAAAATTGATTTTAAAGGAGTTTTTTCACATTTAAACAATCTAGCTCTGGCTGTTTAAATCATTGAAGTATCAGGTACATAATATAGTACACAATGTAATTTAAGTATAATTACTTTATTAAAAAAGAAAGTTTAGATATTTTAAAGTAAATAGCGTATGTTACATATAACACATGAGGCATTTACAAGTGAGAAAGTTTAATCTGTTCCTTTTTTGTAAAATGTATTCATTTTAGGAGAGAATAACGTGGCTTAGTTTAATTACAGTTCAATTCATTTTTCTAGATTGCCATGTTCTGCAAAGATTGATTTTGTGTCTTTTTTACAGGCTGAGCTGGTGTGAGCTCTCTGAAAAATCTTGCCATGGCCTGACATCATCAGTGCTCAGCTATCCATCATCAAATCTAACTTTGTTGGACCTCAGTCATAATGACCTGCTGGATGTTGGAGTGATACAACTTGCTGATGGGCTGAAGCATAGAAACTGTAAACTTGAAATTCTCAAGTAAGTTTACCAACATTTATTTAATCGAAAGCAAAAAAAGTTAAGACTTTGTTTTCACAATCCCCATGTCAGTCTATTAGTTTAACTTCTAAACAATCATATGGAAAACAGTGAGGTACAAGAATGATGAAAGTGAAAGATGATCAGTCTATGTCTAGGAATATTTTTAAGCCCACCACAAAACTTAAACATAGTGTTACATCTCTGTGGTATAATCATATCAGACATGTGAATACACTTGTTTAGCCACATCGTTTTGAAGTTATATACCCTCTATTCAAACAGTATAAAGATGATTCAGGTTCCAACCTAAAAAAATAAGAATGTTTTGAAAACAAATGTTTTTCTACCATTGCAGAAGGTCAGCAACATTTTTGGCATAGCTGTATAATACAAAAGTTAAAAACTTTTTTTTTCTTTAAGTTATGTAAATCATAGATTGAAAACAACAAAAAGCTAATATTTAGTGTCATGATAGGTTTAATAAGTCTAACCCACATGCAGAGAAACCACTCAGAGAACATGAAGAAAAGTTCAACAGGTTTATTTCTATTATTGAGAACTGGCACTAAGTCTGGAACTCAGTGAACTGGTGAACCGGAACTGGAAGTCAGAAGGGAAGATCACAGAGATCAGTTCAGGGACCGTGGAAATTTAGGATGTTGTAAAATTTATGCAGGAGAGGGGCTCACGTTTGAGGGGGCTCTTGTCAGTCCTTGAATCCAGTCAGTGTAGGATTATCCAGAGAATAGGAAACACGTTGGAGAGCGGACAGGTAGACAGACATTGGACCCGGAGGAGTAATGGAGCAGACTGTCACTCGGATTTCTGATGGGAACTTGAATGGATCATGTGGAGGTTTTCCCCTGCTCAGTGTGAACTCATTTTTTCCTTCCAGGGGGAGATGGTCCAGGTATCCAGTTATACAGGAAGGCTTTCTGCCGATGAAAAAAGACAAAAACTACATCTTAGGGAAACAAAGCTCAGGTTAGACTCTGCTAATCTCAGCTTGGCTAGAGTACCCAAAACTGGCAAACACCCTGGCATTGAGGTAGTGACAGCCCACTGCTCAAATAAAAAGGCCCAACGAAGACAGGGCACCTCCTGGTGGTGGAGAAAAGGAAACACACAAACAGATCACACAAACTGGATTCCTAACATTTAGGGTCTCAGAAAAATATATTATTGCCAAACATCAATAAAGAATATTTTAAACAAAAAAAGGTTAGACTTAGGAAAAGTAGTTTCAGGTCTATGTACCATATAACCCTCGGCGGGGCTATTTGCCCAGCTGAGGGTTTTATAGTGTTATTATTGGAGGAACGCAAGAGTTAATAGTAAAGAAAACTAACTTCACAACAAGCAGACTGAGATAGATGAAGATGATAACTAAGGGTAAATTCCACTTAGGCACCAAGGTCCGAGAGCGGAGAGACAAATATTCCACATTATTTAAAGCCCAATGGGAGGACTCCACAGTGTTCAATAGCAATAAGCAAACAGCGTTTTTCATGTAGTATTTTTTTTATACAGTTTTTTTGTTTAACTTTTTGCTGTATTCAATGTTATAAGAACATGTCATCCATCAACATTTTAAGTCATAAAAGGTAACTGCGTAGTTATTTTATGTAGAAGCTTTTTACTTTGATTATGTAGTAACTGAGCTACTCATCTTTCAGTTACAAGACAGGATTATGCTTACTGTTCTCCCATACATTTCATTATAAGTTCTCTGCTCCAGCACTGCAATTAAACATTAAAAAATGTATTCCTGCTCACAATTGTCTCACCAAATATAACATGGTAGCATTGGAAAATCAGTTCCTCTCCTTGCCAGGCGTAAAGAGTTACATTTCAATATCTATATTGATTGGTGCATTTGGATCAACAATATATGTTTCACATATTTATTGAGATAAATATCCTGTTTTTCTTATTTTAGACAGGTAATTCAATGTGCAACTGTTTAATGCATTAGCTTTGCACAAGCAATAGAGTTTGTGTTTTTATCAACACAAACTATTTTATGGATCAGGTCCTACAGTATGTCTAATTAATGTAAATCTGTAATGTAGGTGAGTGTAAGTAAGTGTAAATGATAGGTGAGTTTACTTTTGTGAAATGAGTGATTAATTATTTAGGTCACTTGGCATAAAAACAATAGTCTGTGTGCAGGTCATTAGGAATTTCTGTGATGACCCCAAAAGGGGAGAGCTGAAGGAACTCACTGTGATAACAAATATTGACATGTTTTTTATAACATCTTAAAGTTTTTTAGCTGTACCTATATTGTGAAACTATCCGTGTCTCTGTGCAGACTCGCAGGCTGCCAGGTGACAGAGGAAGGCTGCAAATCTTTGGCCAAAGCCATTGAGTCCAACCGAATCTCCTCTCTTAAACAACTGGATCTGAGTTACAATCACCCTGGTGACAAAGGGATCAGTGTTCTCTCTGCAATAGTTGAGAATCATCACAAGAAGCTGGAGAGAGTGTGGTGAGTTAACAAATCATAAATCTCTACATTTATAGAAATACTGATTTGCTTTAACTTTACTTACAATCTTTCTCAATTTTAAAAATGATAATAAAATAAAATCTAGATAGTTTTAAAAGTAAAATAAACCAATCTGTCTTGTTATCTGTCTAACTGTGAACAGCTTTGAACACGGAGGAGAACATCGGTTAAAACCTGGTTGGAGTAAATGTAAGGTTTTTTTTTTTCTTTTCCTTTTTCTATTAATTTATTATTGAATAATTTTCTAATTGCCCACCTTGGGGCTGGTGGGTAGCTAATAGTATTTAATGATTATATAAAAGATGCCTTCATATTATTCTTTTTTATGTTGTGTCTCAGCCATTTTCAAAGAACCACGGTGAGAAATGCAAGCTTAATTATTTTGCAAATCAATTAATCTGTCCAATATTTGATCAACTAATCAATTAATAATCCAATAGCCAGAGGTTCCTTAAAAAGTTTTTTACAAAATTAAACCAGCTGCAATAGTTTCCACTTGAGTTTTGGATAGAGCATATTAAGAGACAAAAACTTTTTATTTTTTATTTTAAATGCAAAATGTTTACATATTATTTTACAATGATGTAATTACAGCTCTAAGTGGATTGCTCTGTCAGCTAATGACATGTTTTACACTCCCTTTACTGCAGTTACTTATTAATTGATTACTAAATTAGTTGATAATTATTTCAATAACTGATTAGTCACTTGTTTCAGTCCTAGCACATGTGCAGCAACATATCACCAGAATGATTGACAATTAGAAGAAAGACTAAACCTTTAAAGGGATAGTTCGGGATTTTTGACATGAATCTGTATGGCATCCCCATCACCAGTGTCATGCAATCACACTGACTTA